ACATAAGCTTGGACAAGCTCTTTTGCATTTTTCTGCTTCATTTCTCCTGTCAGAGATCTGTGTGTTTCACTTGCTGATGGTAAAGCACTTCAAAATCTTGTATGGATATTATCGTGGATTCTCTAAGCTTACTCCAAATCCATTTGCTCCTCACTTATTCCTTCTTAAAGACAAGAAATAGAACTTTTTTTTTTTTTTTTAATTATATGGTATAACTGATATTCTGCAGCTGTTCAAGGCCATATTTAACTGATCCTTTCCACTGTCTGAGCATCCTCTGAGCAGCTCCAGATCCAGAGTCCTGTTGGGTACATTGTGTCACTAATTCTCTTAGGGACATGGTCTGCCAAGAGGTGTTTCCTTCTTCATTGTAATCAGCAGCCTGGAATTTCCAAAGCTCCTGGTGTAACAGAGCTTCACAGGCTGATCTTCCACAGAAATCAGCCAGAGCCTGGAGCACCGTGTGTGGGTGGCTGATGTGGGTGATGCTGGAAACTCAGTTTGTGTCCCCCAAAGCACTTGCCAGGGTATCAATGCTCTCTGCAGCATCCTCAGGTGTGTGGCACAGCACTTGGGCAGCAGCATTCCTGAACACCTCCTCACCTGATCCTCAGAGGTTCTTGGCTGATATTCCTGTGTGCCAAAGTGCTGTTGCCCAAGAGCAAGGGACATTTTGCCCAGGTAGAGCAAGTGAGAGGCTCAGTGCAGAAACCCACCCAAATACACAATAGATTAGTAGTTCCTCGGAAATCAGAGGTGTAACCTTACTATGTAACCTTATCAAAGTTGTCTAACAAGAAAGTTTGGCTCCTGGATGGGCCAAAAGAACTTTGCCCAGCTGCTCCCTCAAGCAGAGGCCAGAAGATGCCACTGTTTTCATTCTCCTGTTCCCTTCTCTTTTAGGACAGCACATGGCAACATGTTCAGTCCACAGAAAGTGAACGCTTGGTGTTACTGCAAAAAGACTAAGCAAGCTGCATGATCCAACCCACTTTGCACTGAAGTGAGTTTAGGTCACAGTGTCCCCTCACAGCTCCCAGCAAAAATAATTTTTCCTTAGTGTCTAAAATCCCTGTGACACACTGGATCCTAGAGCTCTCCCCAAAGATGGACACACAGAGTAAACTGCAAAATTACCCTCCCATGTCAGTGCAGCTGCCTCTTTCCAGGGAACAGAGGTGCTTCCCACCCCACTGTGGGCATGGGCGGCTCTGGGCTCAGCAAAGGATTGTATCCCTGTTCCACATTCACACCAGGCTCAGCAGAAAACAGAGGCAATCCCAGATGAAAGGTGGCTGGCAGCATGCTTGTGGAGCTGGGGCAGCCCTCTGCTCAGCTCCAAGCTGGGCTCCTGTGAGAAGCACAGATTGGAAAAGGGCTCTGAGATCATGGAGTCCAACCTCTGACCTATCCTCACCTGGTCAGCTGGACCATGGCACTGAGTGCCACATCCAGTCTCCAGAGACTGGGATTCCACCACATCCTCAGGCAGTCCATTCCAATGTTGTATCACCCTTTATGAGAAGAAATTCCTCCTGATGTCCCACCAGAATCTCCCCAGGTCTGATGTCCCACCAGAATCTCCCCAGGTGCAGGTTGAGGCCTTGTCCTCTCATCGTCTTGCTGGTTGCTTAGGAGAAAATGCTGACCGCCACCTGGCTACACCCCCTTTTCAGGGAGCTGTAGAGAGAAATAATCTCTCAGAGCCCCCCCATTCAGGGCTAAAGAACTCCAGGAGCCTCAGCTGCTCTTCACAGGCCTTACCCTCCAGGGCCTTCAGTAGCGTCATGGCCTTTCCCTGCACTGGCTGCAAAGGTGGCCTCAGCCCGTGGATCCAGCCTGTCCAGATCCCTCTGCAGAGCCCTCCAGCCCTCCAGCAGGCTGAGTCTCCCACCAAACTTGGTATCATCTGTGATCTTACTGAGGGTTCACTGGATGCCCTCATCCAAATCATCAGTAAAGTCAGATCAGGCCTGACACTGATCCCTGGGGGACGCTGCTTGCAGCCAGACGCCAGCTGGATGTGGCACTGTTCACCAACACTCTCTGGGCCTGGACATCCAGATAGTTCCTGACCCAGCCAACAGAGCACCCCTCCAAGCTGTGGGCTGATGGCTTTTGCAGGACAATGCCATGGGAGATTGTGCCAAAGGCTTTGTTGAAGTCCAGGTAGACACTTCCACAGCCTCCCCCCTCATCTACTAGGCCATCATCTGGTCATCAAAGGAGATCAGGCTCTCTAGGCAGGACCTGCCTTTCCTAAACCTCTGCTGGCTGGGACCTTGGTTATCCTGAATGTGCTGTGTGATCACACAGGACAATCTGCTCCATAACCCTTCTGGGAAGCAAGGTCAGATGGAAGTGCTTATAGCTTCTCCTTCCAGGCCTGTTTGCGGATGGGTGTCACAATGGGCAAACTCCAGCCATCCAGGACTTCCCCAGTCACCCAGCACTGGTTAGAACTGATGGAAAGCAGCACTCCTCATATATGAAATAAGGCAGAATCCAAGCTGATCCTTTACTGTGTTGGGCTTCCCATGTATTTCACAAGCTTGCTGTGGATGGCAGGGCATTTCTGATTACTGTCAAGGGTAAAGGTCCTGGGAAAAGCCTGGCAAGTTGATAGAGGCGGCACTGGTGGGGTTGATGTGTTGGTTTTGCACAGCCTGGGTTTTGGTAGTCACAGAGGTGGCTTCTGTGAGAAGCTGCTGGAAGCTTCTACAGTGTCTGGCAGATCCAGTCCCTAATGGCTCTGAAGATGGACATGCTTCTGGCCACAGTTGGGCCAATTAGAGCTGTTGGTAACACCTCTCCAATAACATCTTTAAGAAGAAAATAAAAACAAAGTGGGGTCTGCAGTTTTAATTCCAGCCAGAGAAGAGGAGGAGGTGAGAGCATGTGAGGGAAACGACATGGGGACACCAGGGTCAGTGGAGAAGGTGAGAGAAGAGGTGCTTCAGGCCCCGGAGCCGAGAGTCCACTGCAGGCTGTGGCAAAGATCATGTGGAAGCAGCAGTGCCCTGCAGACCACAAGGATCCACAGGGGATGCAGAGTTCCTCCTGCAGCCCATGGGGGAGCAGGTGGATGCCTGGAGGAGACTGTGATCTAGTGGAAGATATGGTGAAGAGAGGGGGTGCCCTGCTCCCAGGCTGGAGCAGGATTGCACCCTGTGGAAGTGTGGCTCATGCTGCAGCAGTTTTGGGAGGCCTGTGTGCCTGTGGGAGGGACTCACATTGCAGCAGTTTTGTCAGGACTGCTGCTAGTGAGAGCGGAGTCATGCTGGAGAAGTTCAAGGAGAGCTGCCTCCTGTGGGAAGGACCCCACAGTGCATTAGAGGAGGGACTCCTCTCCCTGAGAATTTGAAGAAAACCTTGGGTGATGAACTGACCAAATCCCCCCAACTCTGTCTCCCTGTGCTGTTGGTGGGAAAAAGGCAAGGGTTGGGGAAAGAAAAGGTGTTCTTTTTTTTTTAAAGAGGTACTTTACTTCTCATTATCCTCCTTTGATTTTGCTAATAATGAACTCACTTTCTATCTCTAACTTGAATGTGTTTTTCCCTTGGAGTATTTTCCCCCAGTCCTCATCTCAGCTCATGAAGCCTTCATTAATTTATTTTTCTCTCCTCTGTCCAGACATGGCATGGGAGGGTGAGTGGGCAGCTTTTGTGGCTGCCTGGTACTTGCCAGTGTCAAACCACAACAGTTGGTCAAGCAGCCAGTGGTTCCAGAGCTGGGAATAGAGGGCAGTGGACATGGGATGAGCAGTGGTGAGGATGAGTGTGGTCTCAAGCCCCAGCAGGTGTGCAGAGGTGGGTGAGCAAGTCAGAGGGAGCCCCCTGAGGTACAGCAGAGGTGTGTGCAGATGTGCCTCAGCCTGAAATTGCACTGATGCTTTCATCCCATCAGGGGCTGTGTCAGCATTTGATCCCAGAGAAAAAAAACATGCAGGCAGAGGACCTGGGATCTCAGGAGCTATCCAGCAAAGGGGGTGAGAGTGATGTTCTCACTTTGTTCTCCTAAAAGGCCAGATCTTCTCCTCGGTCTCGGTGCAGCCCAGCTGGCACAAGGCAGGGCTCTTGCTGCTCTGCCCATGGCAGCTGGAGGTAACAGGAGCAGAACTCCCTGGTGCTGCCAGGCAGTGCCCCGTGTCTGTGCTGGGATCTGGTTCCCTGTGCTCAGGTGTCCAGAGCCCCCAGAGCTGCCCCTGGGGAATGGGCTTGGCCTCTGGCTGCTGGCCCAGGTGGGGGTGGGTATTGCCCAGGGTTCTGCAGCACATCAGCCAGCCCCAGTGGGGCTCTCCAGACCTCAGGGCAGCTGCAGTGGCCCGGGGTGTGTCTCCTTATGCAGCTGAGGCCAGCCTGGAGCTCTGCTGGCTGCGGTCAGAGCTGGGACACAGCACACCTGGAGACACCTGCATGGGGCTGCCTCACTCTGCACCTCCACCAGAACCTATGTTTTAGTGCAGCCCCCAAACAGCTTGGTCCCCGCTGCACAATGAGACCCAGCATGATGATGGACAACAGCTCCTGAGCTGAGAAGTGCAGTCCCAAGTTGTCACCTCTGAAAGTGACACAGCTTGTATGAGCCGTTGGCATCCTGGCCCACTTTGTTCATTCCCTTTCACAGGAGAATAACTGGTGTCTGATGCTGACACTTGTGTGGCTGTCATGGCATCCTCAATTTGCATTTGGACACCCAGTGTCCTGTGAGGATGCTCTGGACACTGTGACATTACCGCTGGTGGTAGAAATCTCAGTGAGGAGCAACCAGTGGTTTATATAAATGTGACTCTGCAATCCAGCACTGCAAGAAATAACTTTTATTGTAAGCTCTTGCAAACTAAATGATGTGGCACACACTGATCTTTTACAACCATTGAATACATTTCCCCAAATCAGTTTCCCATCAATCTGCAGAAAAGCTTCAGAAGCAGAGCAGAGATTGAAGGTATCCAAGCAGTGCATCACAGGGATTTAGCTTTGGCTGCTCAAAGCTTTCTCTGTATCTGATGCCAAAGCCTGCCTGTCTGATACAACAGCTGCTGCTCTCAAGGCACACTTTCAAAAGCAAGCAAACAAAAGCATGTCCCAGGATCACATCATCACTGAATTGTTGGGGTTTGGAGGGACTTCTCCAGATCTTCTAGTCCAGACTCCAGGCTCAAGCAGGATCAGCTAGAGCAGGTTGTCAGGACCATGTATTGTTGAGGTTTGAGTATTGTGAGACATGGAGATCTCCAGACAAGATCTCTGGGCAGCCTGAGGTGCCCTGGTCACACAGCCTTGCTAAGGAGGTGAGGGACAAGTCAGCTGCACACTCTCGTGGACAGCTAAGGGGGAGAGGAGTCGTTCCTGAGAGCTCTGTCCTGAGATGGGCAGCAGAGCAAAGCAGTTGGAAGCTCTGCCCACATCTTTGTGCCTTTGAGCAGAGGAGGAGATGCCCTGAGGGACAGAACTGGAAACACACCAGAGAATGAAGCAGCACAGACGCTGCACAGAACATTTGTCCCCCTCTACTCTGCTCTGCTGAGACCCCACCTGCAGTGCTGCCTCCAGCTCTGGGCCCACAGCACAAGAAGGATATGGAGCTCTTGCAGTGGAGTCCAGTGGGGGTCATGCAGGTGCTCCGATGACTGGGGGCGTGTCTGCTCTGGAGAGAGGGTGAGAGAGCTGGGGATGTTCAGCCTGGAGAAGAGTCCCAAGAGTGCAGTACCTAAAGGGTCTCTAAGAGGGCTGGAGAGGGTCTTTGGACAAGGGCATGGAGTGACAGGACAAGAGGGAATGGTTTCACACTGATGGAGGGCAGGGTTAGATGGGATATTATAAAGAAGCAAATCACTGTGAGCAGGCTGTGGTAGGAGTAAAAGTTACCCAGTGATATTTTGATTGCCCCATCCCTGGAAGCATTCAAGGCCAGGCTGGGGAGGGCTTGGAACAACCTGGTGTAGTGGAAGGTGTCCCTGGCCATGGCAGGCAGGTCAGAATGAGATGCTATTCAAAGCTTTAAGGTCCCATCAAAATCAACCCATTCAGTGATTCTGTGATTCTGTCATTCTCTGATTCTGTGACATGTGGGAAAAGCCACTGAGCCTTTTCCATCAAGCATGTGAGGCTTACTGCCGGGGACAGGCATTGTTGAACAGAGTAACACTTCTCCCCTTGTAGAGTGTGGCCAACATGTTCTCCAGGTCCCCCAGACTGACTTTCTTCAACCTGTTCTTGTTGTTCTCAGCAATGACCGCCCAAGTCTTGGAGGGCTGTGTTCCCACCAGGCAGCAGCCAGCTGACCAGATGTGGCTGGGTACATTAACCCTTCCACCGGCAATGTAGGTGTTCCCAGGCACAGCTCCCGTGATGACGTACGTGGTTGTACAGCCCTGGCTCATTTGGGGCATCGTTTTAGACTCGTATTTGCTCCACTTGTCATTGTTGAGGTTTTCGTCCTGGGGCACTATGTTGGTCAGGGTGAAGGTAGCTGTCTTGTTCTCTTTACTATCCATATGGCCACAGGCTGCCATATGGCCACGGGTCAAACCAGTTATTTTCTCGTAGTCCACAAGGACAGCCTGGCTCTTTTTGATTTCCTCTAAGGTGAACCTGTGAAGTTGCTCTATGAGGACTACTTCTCTTTCCATGTTCTGAAGTTCATTTTCACTTATCAGCTGGACAGGGAAAGAGAATGAAGTGTTAGAATGGAGGAATACCGGAGAAAATTTCTCTGGAGCTGAAATCTGTGATGGGCAAGATTCGATCTTTTGTCATATCAATAAATGAAAATGTATGAATCTGAGAAAATCATAGACAAGCCCTTCCTGCATGAATGCAAGAGC